GCGCTTATTGGCCATGTTGGTCAATTCTATTTGATTTCAGTTTGAAATGAAGTATTGGGCCTATTACAAGCAATTTACAACATTACGAAACAATAAATTAAGCAACATGACTTGTGAATGAGGAGCTTCATAACTTGTACTCTTCTCCAAGTATAATTAAAATGATCAAGTCAAGGAGGGTGAGGTGGGTAGGTCATGTAGCACGAATGGGGGAGACGAGGAATGCATATAGGATATTGGTGGGAAAACCAGTAGGAAACAGACGACTGGGAAAATCAAGACATAGGTGGGTGAAGAATATTAAAATGGATCTTAGAGAGATAGGATGGGAAAGGATGGATTCGATAGATCTGGCTCAGGATAGGGACCAGTGGAGGGCTCTTGTGAACACGGTGATGAACCTTCGGGTTCCATAAAATGCTGGGAAATTCTTGAGTAGCTGCAGAATTGGCGGCTCCTCCAGAAGGGCTCAGCTCCATGAGTAAGTAAGTAAGTAACACGACTTGTGCACATCTGACTGAGGAATCCACCAGTTTTTTGTAGCTGCATCTAAGATGGTGGATTTGAGGCTCTCAAAGCGGTGGTCGTGAAAATTTCTGTCTTCTTGGATATGACGCCGAATTGTTGTGTAAAATTTAATTCGATATATAAAGTGCTCAGAAATCAATTCGCGAGTTCGCGTTTTGAAATTTGTTCTCCTTATACATCTCCTTACTTACGCGGAGGTTGATTTCCCAAGAGTGGAAGCAAAAATGCAGATATTGTTATCCCTTGGATTTCACTGCCTTTGATCTTCTTTGCAAAATACAGATGATTTAACGCAAATCTTTTTACTTGCATAGGAATTCTGTCTTCTGAGACAATTCCTTTATTTTTTAGTTCACAGAAATTATAGTAAGAAAAATCACGGGAAATAAAATTAACGCGAAATTCGCATAGTCATAATATATTTGTAATACTGAAGCATAACAAACAGTGGACATGAATGCTATTCACTAAATAAATTATTTCCCTTTGTTAACAAATTGAATATTTTTCTCCCTGCTATGTAGCGCCCTGCAATTTGAGGGATGAGTATCAGCGCGTCGGAATGACATGCTACCCCCCCTCCTCCCTTCTTCTGGACGCTGCTGTGAAGAGATGGTATCCCTTCTACCAATGTACACGGCGTTACAGCCCAGAATACTGTAACATCCATGGCCATCGCAGTAGTAACTTTTAATTTCAAAAATGATTTTTTGAATATGTAGGTTTACATGAAGTTTATTAACTGTGCACATTTACTCTGTAAACTATTCAAAATAGCTGAGTATACAGGGTGATTCACGAAGTTTTACCCCCACTTTGGAGGGCATTCCTGAGGTAATTTGGAACAAAAAATGTTAATATACTAATGGTATCCAACTCATAATTAAAGAGATACAGTAATTTGAAAACTGGCGAGAAATCTTTTTTTCTTCGAATTTCAGTCAAAACAAATTAGAAATACAATACAAACACTTTTTAAATCGTTGATGTTTTAGGAAAGAAGCATTCTAAAACCATTTTTTTTCCAATTTCTTAATTTTGCATTGTGCAACATTTTTTGTCGATTTTATGTTCCTAAATTACATTATTTTCAGCATCCCATTCTGTAAACATACCAATGGTTGCATATCACACCCTTCTATCAATCTGTTTCCTTTAACTGTAGTGCTTTAGTAGACGACTGGATTTACATAAGATTTTCAAAAATGTCTCCCTGCACGTCAACACAATGCGTCGCACGCGTATGAACCGCTCTGCCTATCTACCTACGCGCAACATTCAAACCGGTCTACCTTATCTGCTGACATAGCTGACTGAAACGTATGGTCGCCCAAGCTGAAGCATAGCGCTGCATTCACAATGATGCGTTTCGAAAATCTATTGTTACTCCGTAACTAGTGAAAATCGACAAGTTTATAAGGAAATTTTGCAGGAAATAACCCCAGGAATATGTACCATAAGCCGGGGTAAAACTTCGTGAATCACCCTGTATATTCGGTCATACTGAATACAGCCTGATTATACACTGCTCTTTCCCAAACATCTGTCCTTCACTGTTCGAAATATCAAACAAGTGGTGTGGGCTAGTTGTAAACGAGGTTATAAAATTGCTACTATATTTCCATTTCTTTACTTTCTCATTCTGCGTTATTCGGCTTTTATGCGACGTCGCGTTACGTTATCTTGTCTCCTATAACCCAGCAATAATAAAAAGATTTTTGCGTTATTTACAATTCAAGAACTTAAATGCTTACAGAGCTTTAAAAGTAAAATTTCTTTTGCATGAAAACATATTAAAACTCTTTCTGTGTTTCAGAGAAATAAATTATGACGGATAAAATGGGATCACGTCATCAGAGCTCACGTTTTGGCTTCCTTTTCAATAGAGAACATTCGTATAACTTTGTTATCTAAGAGTCTCTCGCATAAATGAATTAAAGTCAACAAACGTTTCAAATCTCTTTTACACTCTACCTGAAAGTAAGTTATACAAAACTTTCGATAACTGGCGAAGAATATTTGGAAGAGTTCTCTTATACAGATGTTTTCTTTCCGCGATACGAGAAATTAAAACGTCACTGACACAGTTTACTACGCGTGTATTATTATTATTATTATTATTATTATTGGAGGGGGTGGGTTTCCCCATGCACCGCGACTAATAGTCTACTGTACGTCCCCCTTTGAGGTCGGCCCTCGGTACCCGATACTTCCCCCATCTACCAGAGGCACTGGAAACTACTTGGGCGAGAAACTTTTTGCCTAATTTTGCTCAGAGGTCTCCTAGAGACATGAGGATCTTTTGCGTGCCGTAAATCTACGACACGGGACCCGCGGCTTAAAGTCCCTCCCGGAGGACTTGTTCCCTGAATTTTTCCGCCCTTAAAAATTCCACGACCTCCGCCGGGTTTGAACCCGCGTACCTTGAGTCATGAGGTGGGAACGTTACCCCTAGACTACGCTTTACTACGCGTGTAACACAATATGTTTCACATAATCTTCACCTTCCAGTTAGCTCCCTATCATCCACTTCCGCCCGAGCTTCAGGCATAGTGATGTAGCCTTCTGAACTAAAACTACGATATCTGCCTGCCTGCCCGCCCGCCCGATTGGCTGCAGTTTCATTATCATCACTACACAAACTGCAAAGCGTAATGCAGCAGCTTTCATATAAGCCTGTAAGAAAATTGGTCTAAAAGTAAGGATACATAAAGTACCACCAAAACACGGAGCAGTCACAAGATATCGGTGTTCAATAATCTTTCCAGAAGGCCTCAAAATCTACTTCTCTGGGAACAACTGTAAGAAATAACAATGAATTCTTTCTTCTGGGATATAACCACGTGTAGCCCATTACACGCCAACCTGCGTTCCGGAGGAACATGTGGGAATTGCTTACTACTTGCTTAATACTAGTCTCTCGCTTTGCTTATTCTTCCACCCTGAAGAAGGAAGTGGCATTATCTTTCGAACCTTCGATTGACTTTCAACGGACTGTAAGGTGTTATATCCCAGAATACAGAAGCCTTCATGACCACCGTTATGAGAATCATATCCTTAATAAGAGATGAGGTTCATTTTAAAACCGAAGGAGGATCAGTTTCGAGAGTGCCTGCTGATATTCGGTTGGGAATTTTTATCCAGACTGTCAGAAACACTGAAGTTCAGAATTTCAGTATAACACAGTAAGGTTATTTTCCCGGCTTGAAATCTGATCTCATATTTTCAGACGACATAAATTACGTGCCTTTAAAAAAAAAGCGCTAAGGTAAGCACTTTGATGAAGTAAGCAATTCAAGAATTTAGGACTATATGAAAAGTAGAACCGCGATACAGGCCAGTTGGTATTTTCAGAATAGTAAAAGTCACTATCCACTGGAGTGTGTTCGTCACATAGTGTACTGATGCGTGCAAAACCTGGTCACAACAGTTCCTTCCCTCCAGTCTCACGATCTGAAAACGACCACAGGGGACGCATTCGCAAAACCTGATAACCCACAGTTTTGCCAAACAGTTTCTCGAGTATTCCTGATGGTCTTCAGCAGTGCATTAATTTAGAAAGCAGTCACCAACATTCAGGGCACGCAATATGAATATTAACATGGTATTAAATGGAATGGAAACATACATAATAGCAAAATAAGGTACAATAATCATACTGTACGATTACTTCATTTTAACCCTATGCATAGTTACTTTTGCGCCACGATGTTCACATAATTGTTACTATCTACGAACACCACAAACAGATCAAGGTGGCTGAAGCGAAAACAGTTCTATCTAGTACCAGGAGATATCCGTTTCGAACCTGGGATACGATACCAAATGTTTTGGGATTTTCCGTAGTTTTTCTCAGTTCTTTAAATTTTCTAATTACCACACAACAGCTACTCTACTAATCCTTTCAAGTCCACTGTACATGATCAACTTACTTCATTAATTACTAAAAATCTCTGTAATTGACAGTGTGTCGCTAAACCGTGAAGGTATATACAACTATACGGGCAGTGAATATAAAGCTGCACATATTCTGAAATTGATACTACCGGAGAAGTGTGACTTAAATACAGTGTCTGTACTATATTAACCCTTTAAAGCCCAGTGATTCAATATGTTCCACCTACTTAAAACATTGAAACTCTGCATTCTGCCAATACAATGTAGTTGTGTGGTTCATATGATTTCTTCCGTGAACTACATTAACAGGCTGATGTTTATACGGAAGACGTAATGTGTTTCCTGTGAGGTAAGAACTGAACTTTTATCTATTATATACAACAGATTCAATATTTAAAGGCCTCGTTATACGTAACTTTTTTTTCACTCTACTTCTACAGTTGTGAACTTTCAAACATAATAGCTGTCAAATTACATACATTATTAGGGCCTTACTCTTTCTTTATAGTCTGTACAAGAAGGAAATGAAAGAAGAGGAATGTCAGAAAATAAACTGATGTGTTTTATGTTTTCAGGTTGCGAAACTCTTCTCATACACATGGTCTATGGGATTCTTCCTGTGCAAGGGGGTACATTACTTACAGAACGTGTCTGCCATCTGCTCCGTACTCACGCTTACCGCCATGAGCATCGAAAGGTGAGTAGCTTATGGAAACTTAATTTAAAATTTCGAGCTTTGTGTTACGATTGTCGACAAGGACGCTGAACCTAGAATCAAAAACGTACCGCAAGACAAAAGTTTCCATGTAGTGCAGCACACTGCTGGGTATAATACATATTGCAGTATCATATATTATATTATTAATCGTTTTAAATTTTCTGGTTTTATATTTATCCTCAAAGCTTATTTGACCAATTAAAAAACAAATTAATAAAATATTACACATTTTTAATGAATTTAAAACCGGCGTTGATACACTCTTGGATGTTCCACAATCAAATCCTTATTAGGTTACTTTCACATATCAATGAAAACAGATCTTTTAGTGTTTAGGATTTCTGTCCATTCATAAACCCTCTTGATTAGAAAAATGTTGTCTGTTAAGCGGTATTGTTTTCCCGGCTTCAGCTAATTTCTTGTTTGTGTCAAATATTCGACAGTCCACACCTTAATGATGTGCCTAAAAATTACATATGTAACCTTCAGATTTTTTTCCAATAAATAATACTTTTCAAAGGTAGCTTTGTCATTCCGTTCCAAAAAGTAAGGTATCATCTGTTCATTTTCCAAAGACAATATGCTTAGTACAGAATTGGGATCTAATTGTTATGTTGAGCTGGAAATTCGTATCATACTAAGTAAAGTTGTCCCTGTGCATAACTAGTTGAGCACTACGTCATAAAGGCGTATGGGGGAGTGGATGTATAGATCCACATTTTCTTGACCTCGGCACTAGCTGGAGGTGAGTGGTCAGCTTCACGCCCCGGACGCTTTAACCCTGAAAAGAGCCACCGGTTCCCACTGGATACGAGGTCTGATGGACCCGGGAACTCGAACTCCGACCCCTCAGTCGTCCAGCCTGTAGCTAGTCGCTATACCGACTGCGCCATCTCGGCTCTTATTACGTACTTCATAATTTATATAGAACAGCTAGTAATTCTAGGATAATGACCAGGCCTCGGATTTTGATGACCTGAAAATATATAAAAAATGACCTATAAAATGACGGAAAAAATCCAGAAAAATGACCTAAAGGAGAAAAGAAAGAACACTTCGCTTCCATGTTATTCACATTTCAGAAAACATATGAAGAAAATTCCCTAAAATGGCCAAAAATGACCTTACACCTAAAAATGTAAAAAAAAAAATACAAAAAATTACCTATAAAATTTAGATTTCAGCAACCAGCAGCTGTTTTCACTGTTCACAGTGAAAACAGCACAGCAGCCACGAGCAAAGCCTGGACGATATAAAGAACCTCCACATCAAGATAGCCAGGTGGCACAATATCTGCCCCATATAAGAGGGACGATGGGAGGACGAACACGAGCCTGCATGGTTTACGAATTTTAATTATT